TTTTTTTTTTTTTTTTTTTTTTTTTTTAGCACTTGTTACTCTAAATCTTCTAGCTCATTTATTTGGTCACTGCTTATTCTCTAACTCCATATCTAAAACGTCAGCTCTGTGAGAGCCTGGATTCTGCATTTCATGTTCAGCTCTGTATCCTAGTGCCTAGAATAGTGCTTATGTTCAACAACTCTTTGTCATCGAATAACTAAGTGAACAAATGAATGAATGGATGGAAGGATTGTCAGAACAGAGAGTGGGGCTATTAGGCTTTGAAAGAAAAGAGAACCTCTTATCTCTGAGTTAGAAGACAGAGAGGAGGGTGCCTTGTCTATAATAGAAAGCAGTTGGTCAAGTTGGTTGAGTTAGTGATTCTTCTTGGCCCTGACACTGTCTGGACATGAGCCGTCCTCTGGGAGGGAGCAGCTGGGGGTAAGCATGGAGTGAACAGAGATGAACAGAGTCTGCCCAAAAAGCCAACGGGTGGGATTGGGTGCTAATGTACCAGAACTTTTGAGCTAGGATGTGCCTGAACTTTTGTGCCAGGGGTCAGGCAATTACCCCAGGCCTGAATGGTTGTGCTGAATTGGATCCCTGAGCTGCTCCTGGTCCCTGAACATCCTAAGCCCCTCAGGCCTCAAAGCTGCCCCTCTCCAAGTCAGCTTGAGCTCAGCAGGGGTCATGAGTCTGGTCTTGCTACTGAACTCTCATCCTCTGCCATATCCCTCAGACACTGGAGCCCTGAAATGTTCCCTGTCCCAGCTCCATGGTGAGTGAAAACTCTTTCACCTTTCCAGAGATTGCTGCTTCCATGCCTGGTGCCTCTGGGGCCCTCATTTGGTGATTCAGTTTATGATTAACAACCGCTTTTGCCCCCAGCTAGGAGATGGGCCCCGTGCTACTCACGCAGTAGGGACAGAGGAGTGAGTAGAACATGCTAGGCCCAGCACTCGCCCTCTTACTGCTTCTTTTATCTCTGGTCTTGCCCTCTACCATCTGTCTGCTGTCATGCAGGCCTTCCCACAGCACAAAATGATCACATTACTCCTCTGGGTAGAAGTTTCTCTTCTCATTCACCATCAGTTCTCAGCAACAACAACAACAAAATCCATTCGCATCTCATAGCCTTTTTTTTTTTTTTTTAAATATATTTTTATTGATTTTAGGCAGAGGAAGGGAGAGGGAGATAGAAACATCAATGATGAGAGAGTCATTGATCGGCTGCCTCTTGCACGCTCCCTGCTGGAGATCAAACCCACAAGCCAGGCATGTGCCCTGACCCGGAATCAAACCGCGATCTCCTGGGTAATAGTTGAGTGCTCAACCGCTGAGCCACGCCAGCCAGGCTCATAGCCTTTTATATAGAGAAGGCCCCTCACAAAGTGGCCCAAGCTCATCTCTAGCTTCTTAGCTTCCTGTGACTTACCCAATTAAGCCATTGCAGTTGAAAATACATATACTATTTTCTCTACCCACCCTTTATAAATAAAAAATGCTATGGATTCTCTGGGAAGGCTTCCGGGGGGTAGAGGGTGGGAGTGGGAGCTCCAGGCAGTTTGACCCATAGAACTCCTGGAGCATGCACCTCGTTCAGTCCTCCAAGGAAGCACTAATACTTTTAACAATACATATCTCTGTGTAGTTGACTCCTCAACCAGACCATGAGACCATGAGCATATTTCATCTTTATTTCTGTATTCCCAGAGTCTGGATCAGGGCCTCCAAGGAGGAGGCTGTAAAATTGTCTATAGAAGAGACATTGATGGCAGAAGACTCTCAGAGCTTAGTTTTTTCAGAAAATCTGTAGGGAGAGGATAATACAACTTCCTTGGAAAAATTCAACCTTGTGTCTCAGGAGATTTCCAGAAAATTTTAACATCAGTCTAAATGTTGCTTACTTATTCGGGAACTATTTCTTGGGCAACATGAAGAACCAGGTACTGGGGATAATTAATAAGATGGAGTTGCTCTATAAATAAGCCATTCCTTATAGAGCTGTTCCCAAGTCTTCAACCTTTATTTAGAGAAGATACCCAAAGATGTTCCCATGAGCGCCACAGTCCCAGGGATGTTTGGGGACTATGTAAAATGTTTAGAATCTTAGCTCTAACAAGCATATACATTCTCTTTTTCTCCCCCTCTTCCCCTCTTCCTTCCTCCTCTTCTCCCTCTATCACATATGCACGTACACATGTGCATGCACATATGTCCACACACACACACGCTTCAGAATGCAGAGTGAAAGTTACTTGAATACAATCTAACTTATATTTAAAAATCATTCCAAGTCTTTGATCCTTTAACTCATTAGTATAAAGAAATTTTGCATTGCACTTGGTGATTTATGGCAAAACACCATTGCCTCAGATCCCCAGATGGAGAATTTATCCAACAAAAGTCTTTGGCCTGCTCCACATGGTTGCATTCTTATGTGGATAAGAGTATTAACCTCTTTTTAACTTGTAAATCGCTTGTAAAGAAAAATTCTCAAGGCAGTCAGAATGAGGCATTGTAAAAGATTTTATTTCCTGTTCTAGTCCAGCTCCTTTTATTACAAGGGTGCATGCAAGTTACCTCAAGTAACTCTTTCCCTGCTGAATTAAATAACTCATATCTTTTATTAGATCATGTTTGAAAGAAGAAAGTCTGTTGCTGCAAATTTAAATGCCTCTGGGATATCCATTCAGGTAGTCTCAATGTGTGTGCCTCATATTCAAAGCCGTTAAAAACAAAATAAAAAACAAGACAAGTAAGCAAACAAAAAACCCATTGGAAGCCAAATAAAACACATCTGTGAGCCAAGCCCCAGGGCCTGTAAGTTTGCAATGAGTGCCACGAAACATTAAGAGATGTTTAACTCTAATTTGCAACAGATCTATTTACCGCGAAGGAGGAGAGTGAGGGTATGCACACAGTGTGAGCACAGGAGAGTGCGAGAGAGCTTGGATGTGCACACACGTGCTCACATGTATACGCATGCACTCTTACACAAGTTCTTCCCCACTCATGGGGCTAGCAACGCTGGAGGAATGTGTACAGCACGTCCTGTGCTGTCTCCTGGAGAGTACAACAGGTCACTGTACTGGCTCCAGCAAGGCCCATGTACACAGCATGCCTCTTCCATACATCTGGAAGGCCTGTGGTCTGTGAGGACACCTCCAGCCTCATCACTACAGGTACTAAGAGAAGGTCCCAAAGTTGTTTTAGCTGGTGGCTTTTCGCTCCAGGTGGAGTGAACATCCATTTCTTTGCTCTATTACTCACTCATTTCTTCATTCATTCAACAAATGTCTAACTGAATTCCAGCTATATGTTGGTATTGTGCCAGGCATTAGAGATGGAACATTGACTAGTATAACATTTGTCCTCAGAAAACTTACAGCCAAGTGAGGAAGCATCGAAGCAAACAGGATAACTGCCGGAGGGTGATTGTTCTGATGGAGGTGTCACA